TTATAAACCAATATGCATGTTCAAAATTGCCGACTCAGTTCATTCCAAACTCTTGCCTCAAAGTTGTACCGAAACGGGAAATTGCTTCAGCAATAGCATCAGAGCTAGCGGCAGCAAATGTAGCACGGAAGAACAACTTCTCCTCGCTCGCGCCTTGAGCTTTGAACCAGCTGCCACGAGAGATGAGGACACCGTTGTTGACTGCGGCCTGGAAAACCTCCTCCTCAATTTCTTCGCGTGTCTTGCCAGACGAAATTCCAGGGTGCTTCCGCCAGTCGATTTCAATCCAATGCTATTTCCTGTCAGTGCTTTGGTCGTGAGGAATGAAGAATTTAGATAAGCTCTGAACTTACAAACATCCCTGCTGCAGGGGGGTTCCAATGGGCAAGTTCTTGGGGGAGATACTTCTCACACGCATGCACCATGGAGTCTCTGCGAGCCGTGTATGACATACGAAGGTTGATCAGCCAGTCTAAGTACCCAGCGTGGCCCCATTGCTCCTCCAACAGCTTGTAAAGCACAAGCTGCGAGATACCACTTGGATTCTGGGAACTAGTCTCGCAGGTTCTGTTGAATCGTTCGATGATTTGCTCAGATCCGACAGCCCAGCCAACCCGGGAGCCGGGAGCAATGACCTTAGAGAATGATTCCAGCCGAAGCACACGACCATCAGTGTCAAGACTCAGGTAGGAAGGGATAAGAGACTTGATGAATTCTTCGTGGTTGGCTGGCGGTGGAACGGGCTCACCATCAGCTCCAGCGTATGGCTGCATCTGCAAGAAGTAATAAGGTTCGTCCTCCACAATATAAACGTCGTGCTTCTGAGCAACCTTGTAGACTGCCTTGCGTCTCTCCGCCCGTTGTGTCGCACCCGTAGGGTTCTGTCCTGTTGGGATAGTGTAAAGAACGAAGGGCTTACGAGCACCCCGGGCGCTTTCATCCCAGTTGCTCAGGACCTCGTCAAGGGACTCGGGCAAAAGGCCCTCCTCGTCCATTTTGATAGGTGCCACCTTCAGACCCAGAGGGAGGGCAGTTTCCTGTGCGCTAGAGAAGGTATATTCTTCCATCATAATATAATCACCCCGTTCGCAAAAGAGCCTGAGTGCCACATCCCATCCGAAGGTGCTACCACAGTTCAAACAACATTGCCAATCCGAATAGGGGGGGTTGTGGATGAGCTGTTTCTATTAGCTTCGCTCTGACCCTTCAGATCACTCAGCGTACCTCTGTATGTTCTGTGACATATCTCAGAAGCTGCGGAGCACCCGTAGCTTGACCATAATTGAGAGCTACCTCAAGATCTTCGTAACGTTAATGCCAAGACCGGGTGCGAACGATGGTTGAGAGCCAACTAACCGTATAGACTTTTGCCTTCGCGAATATCACTCTTTCCAGTGTGTGCAACCGTTCCCGACTCGCGAGTAGCTTCAGGCGTGAATCCTGGTGGAGTGGGAACCTTGATATCGAGCTCCTCGAAAGGAAAGTATTCCGGAGAGGGCAATCCACCGCCCAGAGAAATGAGGCCTGGAGAACAACCTTCAGCAGGAGACATAGCTTGCAAAACGAATAGAATTACCTGGGTTCTTCAAGTATTTCGCGGCGCCTTTCAATGTAGATACCTAGTACATAAAACCTTTTAGCCTTTCACTCCAAGCCCCGCTTGAGCAATGCTACCACAAACCTTCCGGGATTTAGCTTCGATGGAGAGAATGTCTAGAATTGGTCAGTCGTTGTTCTGTGGTCGGGAAAGTATCGGTTCATAAACAGGGGTCCGTTGTCGAGAGACTCACGATCCCAGCGTTTAGCCTTGGGCTTCGTATAACATGCCTATTGTAAGATGATATTGCAATTAGCACATATTCGTAATGCAGACCGGACCTCTTCTAGCACACGGGGGCTTACCGGACTTTTGAACATATCACTACTCGTCGCAGGTGCAACACCCTTGGGAATCGGGGCACTCTTGGCCCTCAGAGCAGGAATGCCCTCCACAGTCAGAGGGGCTGCGGGGGAGCCATTCGCATTATCGAGAGCGGCGGAGGGGCTCATTTTCTCTATTGTTTGCGATTGAGTGGATTCAGTATAATAAAAGCTATCCCTAGTTGACTGGCGTACAAAATTACTTTGTAGAAGTCTCAACTGTATGACAATCTGAATCTTCCACGAGGAAGACAACAATTGTAGGGGAAAGCGGGAGTACAAGTAGGTATGAATCAGAAAGAAAGATAAAGGTCACACACCGATAAGCGCCTTTTTTTCGTCTCCGCTTGGAACGCCGAGCGGACCGGTTTCCGCTCACACAGATTTACTGACGCCATTGAGGGATAGCGATAGCGCCAAAATCCTTTTGCATTGTCAAACCCTAATTTTATCTATATCATTAATCATTTCCGCATTATTGCCCTTTATTGGGTTTCTGTTATCTAATCGAGGAAGAGATCCAAGCATCTGAATGGCTCCGGCAGATGCTTAACGCGCCTTAAATCACCTGCAGGGCGCGGGGGCGGACAGCTAAGTATGGTAAGGTGTGGTATCACAATACAGATTGAATGCGACAATATCAGCATGATCACCCGACCAGGGCTGTAATTCCCGGTAATCCGGGTATAGTTATGTCCGCGCGCATAGACCAGGCTACCGCCGGGATCGGATACCATTCAATATTATTACTAATTCACCCTGTGTCACGAGGTCTCCTCCCAAAAGAGGTGACGGAGGCAAAATACATCCTTGACATCTTGTCGGCAAAAGGACGGGTTCTAGCAATAGTGAGCCCCCCATGCCCTGGAATGGTAATCCCAATACGTGTCGGAATAATAGTCTTAAATAATTGGAATTGACACCACTTATCGAAAAACCTATATATCCTCTATGTATATTCTGGCACTCCCATGCACAAACTCTATGCGCATTAAGCATTATCAGGCCACGAATTAGCGCTAGTACTTTTAGATACCTTCGACAATAGAGCCAAAGTTATAATCTCTGTACCTACTATCGTTGTCTGATAAGTAAGGATTCACTCAAGTGCCCTAACCCCTGTGTCGACTATGTCAATCAGCGTATCTCTTGAGAGAACCTATTTTATACTATAAAGCCAAGTAAACTAGGCTACTCACTCCCTGGTATATTTAGATATTAACCCTCTTCGTCATTTATTAGTAAATCCAGCTACGGTAGGAAGACCATCATAGAAGATACTTGCATAATCAAGGATGATGGTTCAAGACGAGAAAAGTTGAATCAGGCTGACTGCCGTAGTGCCGCCAAGGAACAAGTTCTCTAGGCTTCAAATCACTGGGTAGGATTGCAGGATGTCTATCAATTAACTTATATTAGTTATGGGTTCCACTGCTCAACAGCGATCCTATGGGATCTGAACATTGATGAACTTGAATATAGATAGCCGATGCTTGATCTAATAAAGTTAGCATCGGCTTACCTTTCATCGAACTATTCACGCCCAGCTGCTGTCAACTCGACAATCCTCGGTTGAGGCCTTGGTGACAACCAGCGCTGAAACTGGAAGATCTGCACACCGGACAAACGATGTAACGGAAAGCCAAAGAGAAATATTTCTCACGCGTGGCCTAGTAAAAGTACTCTGAAGGAGACAAACGTCGCCTTTTGGTATCCATAAGCACAGCCCCTGGAATCATCGGGCCCATAATCTATGTTATCAGCACTCGCAGCTCGCTGCACGCCATAGCGAGCCAATGCCACATTCAGTCATTTCTCCTTATTTCAGTAGACCGTGGAAGCCTTAAGGGTCCCAATCGGCAGACTCCATCCAGGCTTGGCGATTAAACCAACCGCGGGCGGGAGTGGAGCCTCAATCTTGTTGACACCCTGATGCGGTTGAATTTTGAGAACTTCTGGTATAAAATCTAAAATCTCTATAATATATTTTTACCTTAATCTAGGCGCTTAGCACATTCCATATGGCGGAAGGAACCCCCGCAGTTCGTGCCCTATCTGAAATGTGACAGGGGAAGTTTCCAAACCCTCTTTTGATCTCCTGGGTTCCAATAGCCTGCTGTCCAAATGCTTCGAGAATTAGATTTCCCAGTGAGTATCTTTATTTATGTGTCAAGCTTCACCAGGGAGTCGTATGATCATCGAGATATCTATACTACGACAAACTCTTTTCCTATCTTGGGGTACTATACAGTGGCAATATTTCTAGCGAGACTTCGAACATCATATCATGGTTCGTACCAAAGACAGAAAACTGGAGTGACGGCCATCGGCTAGATCCTAACGCCGGCCCTAACCAGGGTCTTCTATAATCCATCACATTACGTCACGCCTTTATACAACATGACCCATATCGTGTTATCTTGAATTTACAATGGGGTTAAAATCTATTCCAACAGTCTTTATCGGTCTGTTGAACACATGTCTATAACAAAACGAATATATTGTGCGGCAGATTTTCTAATTGGAATCATTTTCCGTATAGGGTACAATCGGCAAGGTAGGAGGGACTCCAGTTGGATAAGCTTTACTCACAATGCGAGAGTTTCGGCCTGTCTTCACTACTTGTAGATCCTATTAATAACCCATACAAACCTACAGATAATCTACGAACCATGGTACCTAGTGCATTGATGCATGTAGTTCACAGTGCCATCAGAGGCAGCCACTCGTGTTACGCACTCAGATCGGCGAGCCGTGGTAAACGATATTGCCACCCAGACTACACTTACCTAGAACAGTATCTCAATGCACACGAAGCTAGCGGGATCTAGTTCACGATAGTCTTCATTAAGCAAGCCTTCATTGGTAGGTCTTAGGTCTCTAGAAATGTTCGTTCAGGATGACGTCTACTATATCTCCCAGGTCAACGTCCGGTTGGTCTAGGCTTACGAGTCTCAGTTTCTTAAGACAAGGAACACCGTCCAGCTAGCCCCGGACATAAATATGCTCTATCCCCCATAGAGTGCCATAACTCCCAGTAACCTCATTTCCAAGCCACAAGACCTATGCTATTCACAATCATGAAAAGCTTCATCACCTTGACGGCTCTTGCTGCCGGCGCACAGGGCCTCGCAGGTCGCACTACTAATTGTTGCTTCCATCTTACTGCCTCAGGCGGTGCCTCGGGCACCGTTGGCCAGCTCAGCGATGGACAAAACCGTATTGGTGACAACACTCTGTCTCCTGCGCAATTCTGTATTAACTCGCATGGGGCTATCACGGACGGCAGTGGCCGTGGCTGCATCTTAACTCGTAAATAACACACCTTTCGGATAATGGAAGAAGCGTTAACAAGCTAACGAACAACGTAGCGCCGACTACTCAGTTCCAGTGTGATCAGGGTGCCACACCTGAGTCGGGTTTCTCTATTACCCCATCTGGCTTGCTAGAGTTTCAAGGCGGCTCTGATTTCCTCGCTTGTGACACTGGCCAGAACGGTGGTATGAACATCCATGTCACTCCTAGCAAGGCCCTCGGGAAGTGTGTAAACATCCAGTTGAAGGCCGACTCATGCGCACCTTCTGCCTCCTCTGCCCCACCCACAACAACGTCCGCTAGCAATAGCTGTCCCACCACGTTGTCTTCGGGCAACTTTGAGTTTCCTCATCTGATCATTCCTATCAACTCAAAGTCTCCCAATAAGGCGTTAGGCACCTCATTCAACGGCACGGTGACATCAACTATCTCAAGCATATTCAACTTCGATATTCCCCAGTCTGATTCTGGAAAGACGTGCAGATTAGTGTTCCTATTTCCCCAGAAGGCTGACCTTCAGACCTCATCCTTTAGCTTCAGCGGTGATGGCAAGGTAAACTTTTCCAAGCTTTCCAAGGCTGCCACTACCTCTACTACCTTTAACAACGCTCCCTCTATCTCGCAAGATCTGGGTGATATCACGATTTCGCCTGGAAATTCGTTCGTTGTGTCAACGTTCTCCTGCCCCGCTGGTGAGGCTATTGCCTTCGAAATGAAAAATGCCGGGACCACCGAGCTTAACTTCTTTGAGGACTTCAACCCTGCTCCGTAAGTCCACTTTCTTGATAGACCCACCTTTCTATTGAGCGCAAACTAATGTTACTTCAGTCTGGGTCTTTTCATCACTGTCTGCTAAAGAAGTAGCATGATCTCGGCGTTCTTCTCAGAATTCCACCATTAATAGTTAATCATCTGTGCTGAGTTCCTGGCCAGGGTGATCATGCCGGAAACAATTTGCCCAAGAGCCTCATATCTCAAATGATTACGCAGATTTCCCGTCCAAAAAAGTCATTCCTTTTGGTTAACGTCCTGGAAAACACCAAATCGCCAGATTTTTGTATTATGTTAGTATTGAAATCGATTAATTATTTTTCTAATCCAGCAGCGCTGGTGTAGTGAAGACTTTATTATAATAGCATATAACAGGGATGCAGATCATTTTCACCTAGTCGATAGCTCCTGTGACTGATCTTATTGTATTTCATTTCAAATGTACATCCATCTTACAGTATATAGCTAGAACATAACTAATTAATTAACAACCCCATAGGACCAATTCTGTTAGAAATAACGGGCAATCATGTCTGCGTTCGAGGAGTTTCCCAACATAAGTAGACCAAGTTCAGCCCAAAAGAACAACGAGCAGCGGATCTTCTTCCACTTCAATGTCTATTTCAAACCTTCCTTCTCAAGGCTTGCTTGACGCATGGACCAGTCCCGTATATCTCGAACCATGGATTCATGGCCCTCGTTACCGCCCACAAAGCATTTTATCCAGAAGTTGCCCGAGCATATTCCTGGATATTTGTATAATACCCGGCCTGTACTGTGTGTCGAATAGATGGCCAAATTACCACATCCATCTCCGAGCCATCGGCGCCTTGAGGTCGTGGCCGCACTTCCAGGGCATGATGAATCCCAAAACCTTGTATCTGCCATAGCCATAGTGAGGATGCAATCGAAACCGGGGACGTGCTGTCAGCTGGAGGCAACGCCTGTCTCCTTTGATAGAGAACAAAATTTGAATGTTTTTTTCTCCGATACGTTGACCCTCACACGGCAAGCGAGTAATTAGCTGTCGCTTCAATGTGGTAAGGTTCTATACTGTCCGACCCGGGTTTTGAAGACAGGGAGTGTATGCATATCGAGTCACAAGCTGTTTATAGTAGACTAAAACCCAAGTCTAGAAAGCAGAAAGGAAAGCGAATAACCAGGCATATGTTCGCTGTAACTGATTCAGCCTCAACAATCGTAGGAATTGAACTATATGCAGACGAACCTCACCCAGCCTAGTTTCGCCTCACCTACTCCACCATAAACACACCAATAATATGCGGTATAGCTCCTTACCTTTCTTGGGAATACACCAAACACCTGTAGAACATCGGTCTCCCAGAGTCCCTATTACTTACGGACCCTATTCATCAGCTCCTCTGCAGATCGTGGTCAAATACTCCAGAACTAGCCGCAGAGCCTGTTTCAGAGAGAACAAAGGCTGAAATTTTGTCCTCTTCGGTGCTCCGCGATAACAGTACTCTTTTTTGTTGACTGTCATTTGATCAACATCTTATCCTCAGGACACTACACGAAAAGCCCAGTACGCATAGTTACGTGGTTACCATTTTCTCTTGAAAGCGAACCTGCGATCGACTCTCCGATATTAACACCCATGCGTTAGGGAGCTTTCCAACATTTCCAATCCATCCTATTCCCGATAGCTTCGATTCTTTTGCACTCTTGAACTGATATTTTACCCACCTCTGAGGCTCCGTGCCAAGGATGCAATCACGCCTGCGCTATGACGATGTCGCCTGGGAGAAAAGCGAAGCCGTCGCCGATGGGTGGGTTTGCCAGGTTTTTGAACCCGAGGTCCTAGAACTGGTTGGCAGATTCCTGGTCAGACACCATCGCCCTGGCGATGCTGTCGAATTCAGTTTTCTCGAGAAAGGAGCATACAACATCTCTTTCCAGATGAAGTACAAGAAAGCAAACACCGCCATAATACGTTTCCCCCAGCCAGGTGCCACCATGTTTCCTGAAGAGAAGTCCCGTAATGAAGTCGCTACCATGCGATACATTTGCGATCAGACTTCAATCCCCGTTCCTTTTGTCCACCACTGGGGGACAAAGAAGGAAAGTACTCTGGAATTAAGTCCTTTTATTATTATGGACTATATTGACCATGATACAAACATGTATGATGCTCTTAACACGCCTGGGTGCCCAAAGGAAGATCGTGGTACTCTTGACCCGGATATCAGTGAGGCAAAATTAGAGGCTCTTTACAGAGGGGTCGCAAGTATTTTGCTTGAGCTTTCTCGACCACATCTACCCCAGATAGGGTCACTAGACCAGGTTGACGATTTCACCTGGAAAGTGACACATAGACATGACAAGGTTAGCTCATGCTTCCATCACAACGTCAAATCAGCCTCAGCGCGTAGATCACGCCTGTGATCCACTGCATGTGGGAGTCTTTCAAGGTATCAATGCCTCTGAACCAATAATCAATAATCTATTGTTCTTTCTCTGGTGCTTATGTTCTTGGCGTCCGTGGTTTCTTGCTTGGTAGGATGCTCGATATAGTAAAGTTAGCATCTGGAAGCTCTGGAGTCGGACCGAGCTCGTGGCAAGTAAGCAAGCCTTGCGGCGAAAGGCGGTAAAAAAAAACCGAGTCGGCCCGACTCACTACTTCGACGTCTACAACATTCTCCTCCTGTGTGCAAGCAGATATAGGGACTATAGCGAAATGCAAACACGCCCACCTCCCGCAAATCACGCTTTGCAGCACTCTGTAACTGCGTGTCAACGGTGTAGAGATCAGAAAGTGAGCTATCTATCGTCTTTGCTTGAATTGTCGTCATATGATGCTGAGCTCTTGAATCATTGTTTTAGGTCAAATGTAGTCGGGAATGTCCTGCATGCGCCCGGTGCCAGCGGCTGCAGGCCGATTGTACATATCCCAGCCCCCCAGTCCGCCGTGGTCGGAGGTTGCGCCGCAGCTCCCGGGGCGTGCGTCGTGTAGGTGGCCAGAGTACCGAACAACTCTCCCAACGCCGTATTATCGTGAGCACTGTCGGCGGATCCGCTGATGCTCAAGAGTCAACTGCCAACCTAAGCCATCGGCCTAATATTTTGACGCCCCCCCGTCACCGTGTGCCGCATAATGAAACCAGTCTCCCTCAAACTCAGTACCAAGCGCGCGAAGAAACTGCTACGTCGTCGAGAGGTATCCCATGCTCTGGAGGCCGAGCCAGCTATCTTGCAAATGGTGTTGGTGTTGAATCAATCAATGTTTCTTCTGAATCATACCCAACTCACCTGCGAAACACGGATTTGATCAGAGAAGGCTTAACTGCTGATGTAGCTTGGCCACCTTTACCACCACGAGCCCTTGGATTGTCCTTACTGGACATATATTGTACGCGAATCTACAATGCATCTGTACTGTTCTGTAAACCTATTCTTTTCCAGGAGTATCTTGATGGAAAGATTCCTGAGGTCCTGCTCAAGGCTCTTTTTGCGTTAGCTACGGTGTAAGTTGCCATATCTACGCCTGGATCGGCCAGCTAAAACAATATTTGAAGATTTCTTACTCGAGTAAATGAAGACAACAATGAGGAACAATCTGAGTGGTCGGAGTTAAAACTTTTAAGCGCATATTCATCGTGTGGCCTTTCATGGGCAAAGTCAGCTCTAAGGGAAGCTATGTCATCCATCTGCACAGAACCATCTCTGGCTGTTTTGCAGGCGCTTCATTGTTTACAACTGTATTGGTTTGGAATTGGTGAGCCGCGAACCGGCCATTTATGTCTTAGTAGGTTTTTTGTCTCTCTACTTCTTTGACTAGTTGCATCTTGTCATAATATTGAGGACTTTCGGGTATCACAAAATCTCCGCTAACGGTCTTGTAGCTCTGGCCTACCGTTCGTGTGATCTCCTTGGATACAACAAAAAGGTTGTTGACGGAGTTGAAAACCCCGATTTCTTGCTCGAATCAGAGTCAAGACGTCGATGCTTCTGGGCCTGCTGGATATCCACATGCATGGTCATGGAACCAGAACCGTATGTCAGATTGGCCTGGGCCGAAGCATCCATGATACCACTCCCTGCTGCTATAATACATAAAACTTCCGGAGATGAGGTTGTATTAAACGAGAAGATGGATCATAACTGGTGTTCAAGCTTAGCCATATCTCAGTGCGAAAGTATTCGCTCCCCAGTGGATGAGGCATTATTGGTTAAAATGGTCGGAGTGTGGTAAGGACTTCCGACAATGTTAGGATTAGTCTTTCTTGCTTTCGACGCTAAATCATCATGCTGTCTATTCTGTAGGGCTAAAGTTCAGCTTTTGGTCCGCGATTGGACATCCTCTAGCATTAGTCGGAATCTTGATTCGCTGCAAAGACTCTCGCACTTGGCAAGGTCGATATTTCAGGACGGAATGTCAAACAGGGATCTAGCAACCTCTCGAAGCGACCAGGGCACGGAGAATACCCCCCTGGTGCTCTTTATCAGTGCCCTTTACCACCAGTGCCAGATCACTTTGCATTCAATGATTGTTCCTTTGTTTTCTGGTACACACCGTGGACCAAGAATAGACCCGGAAGTTGTGAAGCAAAGTGCCGAGACAGTCACACAACATGCAGAGTTATTCGAAGCTCTACTAGCTCCTTACATGTACGGGCAAGGTGATATTACACTTCTACCGCCTTTCGTAGGATATGGTGCTTTCATCACAGGTGTTGTTTTCTTGGCTACTGAGGTCTCTTTTCAAGACAAAACACCACGAAGACCTGTCTCCGGAGCACATTCCGAGAGTCGTAGATTGTCGACTGTGAAGGGCACCCTTCACTTACTCAACAAACTTCGATTGTATTGGAGGGCTCTACAGGTTTCTGTGAGTATATATTCCTAAATGGTCGAATTGGGGGGATACTAACTATCTGGAATGCAGTGGGAAAAGCTCGACGCTGCATTTCAGCTACATATATCTTGCCACAGCGCACATGAATCAGCCAGCCCACATGCTATCAAAGCTCCCGAACTTAACCCTTCAGAACCTAAATCACAACTCTCCGACCATGTACCAGAAGGCTCTGTGCACAACGAGCAGTCAAGCACTCGCGAAGCATCAGTACCATCGATAGGCCCCTCGGGCGAACATCTGCATCCGTGGGTGAGTGACCAGAGAACTCTGGAAGTCGATCCAATGCAGCAAAATCCACAGGCAACCATGTCCGATAATTGTATCTTTGAACAATCGGATATGGAGACCGCTGATATGTCTTTCACAACACCATCTGGTGTAGCCCAGGACGACCCCTGGTATAATCTGTCTTTCGCGGAGGCTGGAATTGAACAATTCGTAGGCTTCGAGCCCTTACATCTCTTTCAGGAAGGATGCGGATTTTTTAGCTGAGCGACGATCCACTCATCTGTATGTATAACGTGCACATAACCGAGGAGGCGGGGCAGTCGGGCTCGGAGGAATCGGACTCGGACTCGGACTCGGAGCGTTGGACGTTACTATCCGTTAGCCGGAATACTTAACAATGTTGCCTCGTATATAGTGTTGTAACACTCACTGTGGGAAAATAGGATCTGCTACTTCTAACTACTTCGCATTGGACAACAATCAAAATGCTCAACCATTACCGCGATATTGAAACGGTCGACTCAACAAACCATTCATATATCTTTGTGCAAAATGCGTCAATCCCTTTGAGAACTGGGGGAGTGCTTCGCTGTAACGTCTATAAGCCGCGGGGGACATCTGAAGGAATCAAATATCCCGTTCTTGTCACGTACGGACCGTATGGAAAGGATGTCCCTTATGAACAGTAAGTGTCCATACTCAAAGAATATAATATTTCTCCCGCTCCCTGATGTGCTTTCAATGCGTGAGTTATTTAACACTACTAGATGGTGCTAATGAATGAAATAACAGGTTCAACCCCAAGAGCTTTGCAGAAGTGGATCCAGCTCACCAGACAGAACATTCTGCATGGGAGACGCCTACACCCCAATACTGGACCGACCACGGCTACATCGTCGTGCGAGTGGATGAGTTCGGAATTGGACAGTCTCCAGGGCAGCTACACGTCAAATCCGCAGCTTCCATTGATGGATTCTGCGAGGCTATCGAATGGGCTGCTAGTCAGCCTTGGTCCTCTGGGAAGGTCGGCCTCCTCGGAGTCAGCTACTATGCTGCCACACAGTGGCAGGTTGCGGCTCGACAGCCTAAAGGCTTAGCGGCAATAGTGCCATGGGAAGGATTTTCTGACGCCTACAGTGAGTCATTGCGACATGGCGGCATCCTCTCGAATAAGTTCTTTTCCATGTGGTACGATCGTCAGGTCGCGCCGAATCAGTATGGGCTTCCGGGGCGAGCGGCGCGCAACTGGGGTCCTGATACTGTCGAAGGTGACCTCAGCGCTGAGGAATTAGACGCAAACCGTCATAAGGCCGCAATGCATGAGCAGCGGTACCGCGATGACAAAGAGATCTCGCCGCTGAACTTCAATCTTGAAGACGTCACAGTTCCCCTTCTCAGCGTTGCTAATTTCGGTGGACTTCTGCTGCATCTTCGAGGAAATGTGATGGGGTATCTCTGGTCTGGATCCGAATTCAAATATCTCCGATTTATTGCTGGACGCCATGATCTGCCATTCTACTACCCTGAAGAAGTAGAGATACAAAGGAGCTTCCTCGATGCTTGGCTCAAAGGGCAGGATCGAGAGGGCTGGACGAAAAATGGGGTTCTTCCTCCAGTGGATTTGATTCTGCGAAAGGGAAATGTGGGCTTCAATAACCCAGCAGGGGAAAAGAAGTTTCTTCGCCGTACAGAGAAGGAATGGCCATTGGCTAGGACACAATACACCCCGTTTTTCTTAACAGCAGATAGTCAGCTACACCTCGATCAGCCACACCTGACGGTCCCTAATAAACTCTCCTACAGCGCCCTGGGCAAGGCAGAAGCCTCTGACATGCTGACCTTCAAATCGGCTCCTTTTGAGAAAGAAACAGAAATCACTGGACACATTGTGGCTCATCTTAACGTATCCGTCAACAGAGATCAGTGGGGAAATTCGCCCACAGATCTCGACTTGTTTCTCAGTCTACGCCATATATCACCATCTGGCGAAGAGATATCCTACACAGGCTCCGTCGGAGACCCTGTCCCAGTGACCAAGGGTTGGCTCCGCGTTTCTCTCCGCAAGACTGACCCTCAGCACCCTCGCCACCGGCCTTGGTTGCCGCATCGCAACTACTACTCCACGGATGTACTACCTGTAATTCCTGGCGAGGTGTATCCTGTCGATGTGGAGCTCTGGCCAACTAATGTAGTCGTGGAAGCGGGAGGCCGGCTTGTGTTGGAAGTGAGTTCCGGAGACACCGCAGGGACTGGGATCTGGGGTCATGACGATCCTATTGACAGGTTTGACTCTCCTCAACTACACAAGGCATATTGATGGCTTGTTTTCTAACTAGCATCTAGGTCAGAGGCTATCTTCAAAGGTCTAAACAACATCCATTTCGGGCCAGATTATGTGAACTATATCACACTCCCGATTATTCCCAACGAGGGATCTTGATGAAACGATCTCTTTGGAGATTCTCGTCATCAGACCGCTACCAGCAAAACAGCTTCGCGAGAATCACGCCATCTCTACGTAGTTGTGCAATTTATACAGTACACAATTCAACCACAGTTGGATATTTTTTTATTTTGCTCTATTTCCGTGTAAATGTCTTCTGTACAAAGTAGTATAACACAAAAGGAGCCAGTTATTTGTTGGACCTCCACGCTGAGGCTATTAATAATATATAGGGCTAAACGGCCCAACTGCAATGACTCTATATACAATTTCTCTAAGAATCTAAAACAAACAAGTTGTACATCATTCAATACGATCAGGACGTGTGATCGATAAAACGCCACATTGCATGACCATCTCTTGAAACTCCGAGTAACCATAGCTATGTAATTCCGGGCAGAACAGACATTAAGAGTAGTCGACTAAGAAGTAAACCTGCTCTTCTTCCTAATTCGAGCCCCGTACCTGTAGAAAATATACCTGTCACCCGCAAATTTATCAGTTCCAAGAACAACTTCCCAGGCGATGGCTAGAGAAGAAGAGCAACTTACGGAAACGGCACCATCGCCAAAGTAAGAAACGCGAGCAGACACGAAGCCCAATGTAGCCCTAATTTATTGTACACTAAAAAGAAGCCAAGGTAAGTTTTACTCCCTCATCAGTCATCAACATTAGCAGGTATTCAAACTCACTCTGAGTCCCGAACAGAGGGAAAGCGCCTGCAAATGTCGATCTAGTAAAACTGTTTGCCGCCAAGGCGCTGGCAGCGTAACGAGGGTAGGCTTCGACGAGGAAGGTGAAAATCCCAGAAAAAACGAGAATTGTCCTGTTCCATTACGGTTAGACACAGCTTTCTTTATCATGGAATTCCACTCCAGGGTTGACTTCTAGTCTTGATGAAGTTCATTGACATCCATGTTCTTGGGTCTACTTACCCAGCTCCGAAAAGCGCACTTCCGATCATTGGCACTATCCAGTGAATACCTGGGTAAATTGTCCATGAGAATATGAACAGCCCGATTGTTACTAACGGTGCCCCTGCTATAGCTGTATTTATCTCAGATTAGTATATGGTGGAAGAATCAGGGGGTCAAGGAAAAGTGGTACCTGGAGGAAGTCTCCATTCCGGTTCGAACCCGGAGGCTTCCGGATTTTGAATATGATGATTCTTTTCAAGGCGCTTGTAGTTCCGATGCCAAAATGGATCGGAGAGAATGGCTAACACCATTCCGACGAGAAGGCCCAGGAAAGTGAGGCCTCGCTGCCATAACTCGAATCCATACACAGACTGGAAAACCATCTGAAACGCGCCGAAGAAAAGATAAAGTATGCCCAGCAGCAGTGCAGAGTATATACACAGATTCAGGCACATGGGCTCCAACGTCAGAAGCATGACTGGCCGGACGATGGAACGAAGGATGAGCGTGCTCACAGGCACGTTACTATTCTCGCTTGGTCCTAATGGCCATGGATTTCCAGTCTTCTTTCTGATTTCTCGTGCCTTCCTCGTTAGAAGTCTGGCGAACTATGTTAGGCATGTCAAGCCGATTGGGGGACAATTAACCAACGCTGGATGATGGGTCTCGGGCACACAAAAGTATATCGAAACTAGCATTGTGGCGGCCCATATCAGTAAGGTATAAAATGTCCAGCGCCTGTATGTTTAGTGTCAGAATGCCATTGTCACTCACAGCTCTAGGAGACTGCCTCTTTGTACATACCAATTTGTATACTGGTTTATAAAGCCACCTAATCTGTGAAGGAGGAACCAATATTTCGTAAGTGCATGTATACATAGCAAGGAGATTTCCAAGAGACACTTACAGAGGCCCAAGCTCAGGTCCAACAAAGGGACTTGCAGTATATATCATCATAGGAGCAGCCAGCTGATGCCGAGGAAACATGTCTCCAACCGCACCTCCAGCAACGCTGAGGAAGGCACTTCCTGCAAAGCCATTGAAGAACCGAGAAATGAGTAGCGTTTGTATGTTTCTCGCGACTGCACATGGTACCAGCCAGATAAGGAAGAATGTGAAGGAGCTTAGAAAGATGACTCTCCGTCCGTATAGCTGTGCATTGGTCAGTCTTTATTATTAGAAACCCCACAAGATACTATGTTTCGTACCTCGGATAGAGGGCCTAATATTAACGGGCCAAACCCTAAGCAGAGGCAATCTTAGTCTCTTGATCTATAACCGGCAATCAGTGGAAATGCGACTGACTTACCCATGCCGAAGACAAAAAGTGATAGCCCTAGTGTTGCAACCTCTTGTGAACAATGGAATTCATGTAGAAGTTGATCGTAGGTCGTAGTATATATGGAAGATGTGCAAGCACTACCACAATATCAGTCCGACAAGTACCGGAGTGTTGATCAAATTCGGCATACTCACACACAAAGTGAGCAAAGAGATATGATAACAACAGTCAGCCATCTTCTCATTAGACTTCTCTTGAAAGGATGTGCCGGGTCGTCTTCATCCCATTGGATAATCTCCACAGATGCTCTCCTATCGATGGTGTTGCTGGGATCGGAGTCATGTTCTAGATATGAACTACGTGGAGTACCGTCTTCCGCTGGCATGAGGGATTTGAGTTAACAAGGTATTATAACCTCTCTGGGCCAATCTACAGACTGTGCAGATTATTCAAAAAGGCAGGGTAGAGCGACAATGAGAGATCCTTCAGTCCTATTCGAACTTTGAAAAATGTAGACGTATTAATATTCATAGCGACAAACCCAGCCAGCCCTATCTTTAAACCACAAATTCATGCATCATTGGCTTATAAATCAACACTCTATAACTAGCACTAATCTCAACTGGTCGTGAAAATCTGTTCCTTGTTAGCGTTACTTATCGGACCGAATAGGGTAGACATGCATGATGAGGATAGTCGGCCCGATTTGGTGTTCTAAGTGACTCGGACCGACTCATATCATATGATAAGTTGTCAAGAGTTCTTCGCTAAGAACATCTTTTCCAAGGATATTTCCCACATTTCTGTCTGACACGTCTGTATTTGCTTTACCAGAATACGTGAACTTGTCTGCAATTAGTCAATAGTTCTGGCGACGATGCTTATCAACCATTTTTTCAAGTCCAACGCGTGTTTCAGTTATGAAACTCTGCGGGCCGCAGGGTACAGTAATTATGGTGGAGCAGACCTCGGGGAGGTGATAGCTATTATCTCCAAAATCCGAGCAGGAAACGAAGATGACTGGCTGGTCGAGTGGAAAAGGGCAGCCGACCGAGCATTTTCCAACGCCTCACAATCAGCATCGGTGAACAGCACAGTCAGTGCCTATGAGGGATATCTACGCGCCTCAAATTACTATAGAACCGCTGAGTTCTTCCGTCGCGATAACTATGACAACGATGAAATGGCACAGATTGTGTTTGAAAGATCGGAGGAGGCCTTTGATGAGGCAATGAAGCTGTCTACATATGCCTATGAATCGATCAAGATTCCCTACCAAGGGACAACACTCCCTGGATATTTTGTCAGCCCAACTGCTACAGGCAATCCACGACGCACCATTATCTTCAATGGTGGCTATGACTCAACTGCGAGCGAAGCCTGGTTTGCGATTGGAGCTGCAGCCCTAGCAAGAGGATACAACTTTCTCGCCTTCGATGGGCCCGGTCAAGGTGCAGCTGTACGACGACAGCACCTCTACTTCCGTCCTGACTGGGAGAAGGTGTTAACTCCCGTGGTTGACTTTGCTTTGACTCACAAGGACGTCGATCCCAATGCCATAGCAATTTTCGGCTGGAGCATGGGCGGATACCTGGTGGCACGAGCAGCCACGCAGGAACATCGAGCCCAAGCCATTGTCTTGGATGATGGAGTATACGACTTTGGGTCTTCATTCCGAGCTAACCAGCCATCCTTTGTGCAAACACTTGTCCAAAAAGAATATGATGGGGTATCCAATTTCATTTTCGGCTTTGCGCAGTCTCTAGATACGGGTGTTCGGTGGGCCCTGCGGAACGGTAAATGGACTTTCGGGGTGTCATCAGAGGCGGAACTGATGCGTACAGTCAATCTGTATACACTAGAAGGCCTGGCTCAGAAGATTGTGAGTCCGTGCCTGGTTCTCGACGCAGAAAATGACCACTTCCTAAAAGGTCAGCCGGAGTTGCTTTGCAACCACTTGAAATGCGAGTATGAGTTTGTCAGTCTCGGAGCTGATGAAGGTGGCGACACGCATTGCCATCAAGGTTCCTTCTTCAGGTTGCATCAAGTTATCTTCGATTTTCTGGAAAGGCGCCTAGCCTCAGTTGAGCTCGCGTAGCAATATGCGCGGCTGGTTTATTGGTGCACTTTTACATGCGTTTGGTTGTACTTGGGCCCGTCTATCACGGACGTTTTATGCGAGAGCCAATCTGACTCTTCTACAGAGATTTTCGAGATTGGATAATGCTTATTCTGATTTATGAAGCGTATTGTTGTTCTAGGTCGTTCAATGGATCCCTAATTAGCACTATATGATGGCACTGTATACCTCTTACTACTATAAAGTAAAAGCAGAATTTCTCTATGTGAGTCTAGAATTAGATATTGAGTTTCTACTCTAATTCTGTAATTAACAAAAGATAGGAAGCAAAAGCGAGTAATGGTATATCCTGCTTTCCCCTGTTTCATCCCAAGGGGAAGTATCAGTTCTTGTTGACATGTTTGCCGACTGTACCGTCTAACTGAACCTCCAAGACAGCGGTAGTTCCATTCTGTACAGTTTTGATAGCCTCGGGCAGCAACTTGGCAAGCTCAGAAACAGTAGCTGCAGTGCCAGCCCAAATCTCGCCTCCCGCAGCAGCCTTCGCAATGCCTGGGTAATCAGGGGTAGGGGCAAATGAGATGTTGAGGTCCTCGTTAGTCGCGCGCGAGCCGTCACCCTCGGGATGAACGAGAAGCATACTCCGCCTGGGAGCGTTCCAGCCCTTGTTGTTCAGGACAATAGTAAGAATAGGTATGTTATAGCGTCTTGAGATCCAGTAGACGGAACCCGGCACGGAAAAGAGGTACGTGCCATCGCCCACAATCTGGCAGACAAATTTGCCCTTGTTCGTACCGCCGCTTTCATGATCAGTGGCCAACTTGATACCGAGAGCACCCCCACCGGACCAACCAAGTCCACCGCCACCACAGTTGATCCATGACTTGGGCAAGGTGGCAGCGATTTGGTCAGCTACAAATGGGGTGAGGGTTACAGCCTCGATAGCCCAGATAGTGTCTGCCGGGCAAGTCTCCCGAACCTGACTGATCATGTAAGACACGTTAAGATCCGTGTTACCACCTCCCGATGGTACAACAGCAAGGTCTGTGATCCCTTGTCGGATCTGCTTATATCCCTCCTCACGACGCTTACCAAGAAATGTTTGTTCTTCGGAGTTCAGCGCCTGTGTTAGTGAGTTGTTAGCGGCAACGTACTCATTGATCTGTCTAAATGCCGTTGCCGATTCTGCACGATACGTAGCCATGGAAGGGAGATAAAAGACCGGCATTTGCTGTTTGAGCGGATCAACATCTACATGGATGATCTTAGCGGAATCAGACGGTTTGCACTGGGTCGGAACCCATGGCACATCACAGTCGGCAACAAGGATAACATCTGCCGTTTGATGGCCTCGTGGATGCCATATCGCAGCCCCAACCACGCTGGGTGGTCACTAGGGAAGCACATGTCACATCCACCGGTGTCCAATACTCGGACTCCCTTGAAGGTGTCTGCGAGTTTAACTAGCTCCTCCACTCCCCTGGTCTCACGACCGGAATAACCCACAATCACTAGAGGCTCCTTGGCGGCAGCGAGTTCCGATGCGATCAGCTCAACCCCCTCAGCCGGCAATGCAGACGGTGCGACAGCACCCCAAACACTTTGGTTGACTTTATATGGCTCGATCTCCTCTTCCATTACCTCACGAGCACCAGCCAAGTATACTGGGCCCTTGGGATCACTCATCGCAAATTGAAGGGCGCGATTGACAATTTGCTTCACATTTTTCCCAGAACGGATCTCTCCAGAATAGCGACAGTATTGAGAAACAATCTGCTTCTGATCCGGAACATCTTGAATCCAGTGAATGTACTCGGTACGAGAGCCGCGCATCTCCCCTTCGATGGTGAAGGGAGAGAGGCCAGCAAAGATCAAGACTGGGGCGCGTCCACAGGAGGCATTATGTACGGCTGCTGCTAATCCTTGTGTGCCCACATCAACATGAACAATAACGCATTGCGGTTTGCCGGTCAATCGAGCGTAGCCATCGGCCATGGAAAGGGCTACCATCTATGGAGTGGGGTAAATGTGGGGTTAGCCAGAGATGAGGATTCCTGAAGCCCAAAGTAACTGAGGGGCAACTCGATGCTATTTGTAAGCTTCCTTACTCACCTCGTTAGGACACGTAATAACTTTGGGGAATTCATCGGGCTTCTCTTTCTGGCCCTTCACCATGGCCTCCAAGATGGAGGGATGATCGGACCCTAGATTGGCGAAGACATGGGTGACCCCAGCCTAAGAAATTTAGTTAGTATGAGATAGTGAGGTTTATGGGCGTCAAGTTCGTACCTCCCATAAAGCCTCGAAAAAGGCAAAAGACGCAGTATAGACCCTTGCGATTAGAGGTTAGTTGTCAATGCAATACTGTAGTCAAATAATCTCAAGGCGGACATTGACCGGAAATACATACATTATTGTATCGACACCACACAAGAGTAGACTCTGTGCAAGTAAGATACAAGGGAAAGAGAAGATGGAGGTGTACAATACTTCAGATGCTCGTTGAAGTTGAAGATGGGCTGCTTTTTATAGGAGAGGAAACGTACTTCCAGCAACAGTACCATTTCTCCACACTGGTTGATCGGTCGGATTCGGTCCAAAGGGATGCGCTAGTTATTTATAAATACCGTATGATACATTATATATTTCAAACATATTGTATACGCTCAGATATGGTTCCAAGCAAGGTACGCAGTGTTGCTCTACCTATGAAGTCCAGGCGAGTGTAACGGCGGTATACTATAGGGGTGTGATCCAGGGCTTCTGAACTGTAGATTCAGAATTATCTACAGTCTGATCTTTCGGTATAGTTTGAAACATATAGATATGGATTAGAGCACGTAGTATGGGGGCGAGTTAACTATAGTTCTAGGGCCCGCATCATGTAATATGAATAAAAATCTATTCTATATATAGAGTTTTATATAGTGCTTGAAAAGTTTTATAATATCAAAAGATTACTTTTAATTATATGATTCTACTGATCATACGATATAGATCATATAGTGGTAATCAGAATACAGCGTACTAGAGCTATTAGGTGACCACTGACCAATTTAGGGTGCCACCAGTGGAGCTTACAAATATTCCTGGCAAGAAATGGTTGGTACAATCCCCGCCTTCGGACTTCACACCGATGGTGAAGAATAACCGGGACAAGCTTCAAGCAAGCAAGGTAGCATTGCAGCATCGCAACATTTCCGATGCGGGGTTGGCTGTCGCATTGCGTTAACCTTTTTGGTCGTGACATCGGAGGTTCACGCAAAGTTTCCGAAGGACAGGCCAAACTGGTATAGGGCGGAATTTATAGAACTATATTATACACCTGAATTTATGATCCCCATGTGTACCTGCAGAATTGTTTTCTTGGCAAAGAATATAGGTCCTGTCAATATCAGGCTCCTAACAAGTAACGAAGGAATTCTAGACCTCACAAAGTCATCCCCTTGGATGTTAACGTTGCCCTAATGTCCAAATCAAGTTCTCGCGGTACCCCAGGCACCGATGACGTCGGTCCTCAGGCAACCTCATTCGCATGCTTTTCACTCGACAACACTGGCGTCATCTGTCACAAAGGCTCAGCAGGGTGCATTGGAAATATATTAATTTATATCCATTGAACATGCTTATCATCCAGCTGCCTGTCTCCACTCCCTCTTCATAGGAACCCGTACCACAAGCATCAAACCCTCCCCTCAGCCTTATGGGGCTAAGTCTACGTCATTGCTGAAGAGCATGGCTGGAGAGCGTATATCAGTTGGTCTTCTTGGCCAATCCATGGTTGGGTCGCTGGTCAAAGTGTCCAGTACTCTGTTTTCTATTTGCTTGACTTCGATAATAATCTGGTTCACCCGCCAACCTAAGAGTCTCAATCGTACCTGCGCCGACATGCTTCCAGAAAGAGTTTATCAGCTATGTCACAGCAGCAAAACTGTGAGCTCCGAACTTGCACGAGATCCAAATCAAGCCCCAACCAAGGTGTTTCACAAACTTTATAGCAACGATCATGCCAAAGAGGACGCGTCAGAGGTGGAGGACGGCGTAGATGGCCATGACTGTCTACAAAAGGCTCTTGAGTGTGGCAATTGGGGTCCAACGAAACCAAGCAATCTATTCTTAAAGGTCAGTTCGAGTGCTTTAGTTATGAATGAAGCATACAGTACCTGACTGTGATATAGATATATCACGACGCACTGTGCACCTTAGAAAAGAACCCAATGGCGGGAGTGGTCTCTCCGCCATTAATGGGTAGTCATGGGATCGTACCTTTAACCATTGTGGCCCCGTTGCCGGACTTGTGCCGACATATGGCTAATTGTATCGCACGGGCTGAGACCGAAGTCTTTCTCGGGACAAACTTCTGGATCTATTCCGACGCTTCGACCCTGGTGACCAACGCCTTCCGCGAGTTGTCAAAACGAGCCGGTGAACGCGGCACTAAGGTAGTGGTAAAGATGATCTATGACCGCGGTGATCCTCGACAAGCCTATGAGAATCGCTTAGAAGTACCAGAAAAGAAATACACAAGTGAGAAAGTTCAGCTCCCTCCAGCTGAGGAAATTCCCAACATCGATCTGCAGGTTGTCAATTACCACCGTCCTATATTCGGAACGTTCCATGCTAAGTTCATGGTTATTGATCGGAGGGTCGCCCTGCTGCAAAGCAGTAACGTACAGGATAATGACAACCTAGAGATGATGGTTAGGCTTGAAGGACCAATTGTGGACGCTTTCTATGACACCGCATTGATCTCATGGGGAAAGCACTTCAATACGCCCTTTCCAATGTTGTCGTCTCCCGCTGCGAGTGCTCCGATTCCAAGTCTTTCGCTCATGGACGTAAGCTGCCAAGAGGAAGCCCAGGGCTTGTCTTTGCCCGAGCACACCACAGTAGATCAACACTATGACCTTGACATTAGGAATGAAGCACGGCGCGTCAACGGTACCCTCAAGCCTAGGCCTGGCGAGTCTAGAACGGCTCCGGTCACTCGCCACCTGAGTATGTATCCTTTATGTTCTTCCCCATTCATGAAAATGTAGTTTAATGGTTCATACAGACACAACTACGCAACCGAATACAACCGGTGACGCTCCAGACGTTGATCAAAATACTCCAATGACACCGTATACCATCTCCCCACCTCATGAAGCATGTCCAATGGCCCTAGTAAACAGGGAGCCCTGGGGAGGTATGCACCACTCTAAAGATATCCGATGAGTTCCTATACTTACGATCTCTAGCCCCGAACCACACCAGCATATATACCCCTCAAAATGCCGCCTTTCTCTCGGCAATTCAAAATGCAGAACACTCCATTTTCATCCAGACCCCGAATATGAATGCAGAGCCTCTCCTCGAGCCATTACTGGGAGCTGTCCGTCGTGGGGTCGTTGTTACATGCTACCTATGTCTGGGCTACAACGACGCTGGACAACTACTTCCCTTCCAAAACGGGACGAATGAGATGATTTCTAATCGATTGTATAGCTCCCTTGAGAAACAGGACGAACGCTCACGACTACGTATATATAACTATGTGGGTAAGGACCAAACAAAGCCGATCCATAATAAGTTCAAGCGTCGCAGCTGTCACATCAAACTCATGATCATCGACGGCAAAGTAGCTATCCAAGGTAGGATTCTTGTCATTTTAGCTCTTCGATCTTCGGCTAACAGAAAGTAGGGAATGGGAACCTCGATACTCAATCGTTCTACCACAGCCAGGAAGTTAACGTCCTAATTGACTCCCCAATCATCTGCCGTTCATGGCTTGAGACGATCAACCAAAACCAGAACACAGCTCTTTACGGTGCAGTGAGTCCGGAAGATGGATGCTGGCATGACACCTCCACTGGTAAGATCCCAGACGGGTCAATTGGTGTCAATCCAGGACGTTTCAGCTGGGCCAAAGGGGTGGTTGGGGCTGTACAGAGGGTACGAGGAGCCGGCGGGTTTTGATACCTTGGATACCATTATTTCTTCGGATATAAGTTGAGCACCTGAGGTGATATGAATGATGAGTTCTGTATTAGATTAATTTGACATACCTCTACCGGGAGCCTTTACAATATATAATGTCGAAGAAAACATAGCTTTAATCTCACACACTCACACAAAGAAAGAAAACAAAAACCGTCCTCAAGACTTCAACGGCCATGCACAGCAATCAAGGCCCAATGACACATTTTGGTGGTATTGGATGCTTGATCAGGTCAAAGATGAGTTCTCTGAAGAGGCCTGTTTAGTTCTAGAGGACCACAAATACGATCCACTAACTTTTATTCAAGCACATCAAGAGGATCACTATCTTACATTTACTCCAAGCTAGTCATAAAAGTATCGACTAGGAGGCCCCAAAACGTGTTCCTTCCAACAATAGGTCCTAGCAGCCGTTCGTGGACCTATTGACACCTAAGTAGACTATTGATGCGGAAGACTTCCGGCAGCGTCCTCGTTTTGTCTAACTGATGGGAAAGTCTACAGCCCAAACACTACTTGTGTAAAACACGGAGCTTCATTTGCACCAATGAACTGCTCTCATATCCAGTACTACGGCGGGGTAGAGCGCTATTAAAAAGCTGCGTGGGTTACTCCGAAGTGTACACAGTAAAATGCTAAGCTTTCGGTGAAGAGTCTCTAATTATACTAATTGTCTCCACCGTACGGAGTACTGCTCCGTACGGTGCTAAGGCACGAAAAGGTAAGAAGAGGCTAAGTTGGAGCCCCTACTCTGTATTTTGCATTTAATTGATTTATCCCGAAACCCCACAAGCTTACTATGCCTCTAATCAGTAAAAGGCATTGATCTACTCAAAGTGTCGTCCATTCTGCAAGCGAAGAACTAACTCCGCTACCCCTGTTTCAGACTGATGGATAACTTGCGAACTGCGATCAAGCTCAGCCCACCACACTCGGCGAAATTACCGTCCGAAGGAATGGATTGCCGATATCTTTCCTGATTGGGATCTATCTAATATATTTGAACCTGTCTGTCAAACTCTTAGATTGTCCACTGATGTGTACAGTAGACCCAGCAGGACAACTACTCTCACAATAGTGCGCTTCGGGAGAACAGACATGGGGCCTTGGAATTTTGGAGATATAAATGAAGGATATCGTCCTGGTACCTCGTCTCGTCTATTGTCGGACAGTCGAATGCTTTCTCTATAGTGGAAATGAAACTATTCTACACTTTGGTCCTCTGGGCACCAACTTTTGTGGCAGCTCAGCTTTCTGGGTCTGTCGGGCCACTCGTGGACTTTCAGACCAAAGCAAAGAATAAAACCTGTGATATCACCGACTATGGCGCCGTTGCAGACGGCAAAACCGACGTCGGCCCAGCCATTCTAGAGGCCTGGGGTAACTGCTCCTCCGGCGGTCTCATTTACGTACCCCCGGGTAACTATTCGCTTGCGACGGATCTGGAACTCAAGCACGGTGAATCCACTGCCTTCCAGCTGGATGGTGTTTTAGCGCGCGGTCATGAAGGCGCTTACCAATTGATCCTGGTACGCGACTGCCATGACTGCGAGTTCTTCAGTGGTAATTCCCAAGGCGCGATCCAAGGATACGGGTACGAATACCTTCAAGATGGGAACTACGGTGAACGACTCTTCCGATTCCAGGATGTCAGTGACTTCTCGATCCATGGTTTTGCTGCGATTGATTCCCCTGCGTATTACTTCGTCTTCGATACCGTTTCTAATGGAGAGATCTACAATCTTCTTGTTCGAGGAATCGCTGACTTAGGTATGACGGACGCATTCGATATATGGGGCCAGAACGTATGGGTCCATGATATTGAGGTTACCAATGGCGATGAGTGTGTGACTGTTAAATCGCCGGCCTCAGACTTTCTCATCGAGAACATCTACTGCAATCTGAGTGGAGGAACCGCCATTGGCTCGCTGGGTACCGGCACCAACATCACCAATATTCACTACCGAAACCTTTACATGAACCAGGCGGATGCCTGTTATTTGAAGACCCACAACGGCGATGGAATAGTCAAGAACATCGTCTGGGAGAATGTCATTGTACATGGAGGCCCTTACCCACTCGCTGTGAATGAAGCCTGGGGGAAAGACCTGGGCTCTACAGGCGTCCACGTTCAGAATCTGACTTTCCGCGTAAGTGGATGTCTATCGTGAGCACCAAAACAGAGCCCTGACATCGTTCCCTTAGAACTGGTACGGCGAAAATGTCGCTAACAGCCGACCGGCGATCCGAATCGAGTGTGACGAGGACGTCCCATGCTACGACATCACCCTCGACAACGTCAATTTGTGGACAGAGGACGGAGACTACGTCAACTGGTCCTGTGCCAATGCGTACGGCACCGGTGCCTGTCTACAAGAAGCGAAAGACACCGATGATCTAACAACCTACACTACGGCCGTTACTGTGACTGCAACGCCGTACGTCCAATATCCCTCCCCTGAAGCCTTAGCAGCTCTGTTGACATGAATAACCCCAGGTCTTATTCCGCTACGCGTATGCCCGGTGATTTTACGTCGAATCCTCCGTCCACCACTTCCTTTACGATTCCACCCATGCCCACCAGTTTCTTCCCGGGGGCAACTCCTATTTCGAGTCTCTTGAGCTTGAGTGGTGCAGGCGGTCTCTGAGTGATACGGTAATGGTGCAGTCGATATGAGACAGATTTTCACTTTTTACTTGCTCGATTAGTTTTTTTATCCTCATGATCTTTTTATAATATCCTTCATCCAGTAGAACCCTTGTGTCCATTTATTTCTATCATCCATATACTTCCCAAAGTAACACAACCAACTCAACCCAAATCCTCCAACAAAAAATGCCCCGTCCCCTCATATCCCCATACCCTCCCCAAATATAACTCTCTTCCACACACACATCCCCAACATCACCGAAACCAAACCCCCCAAAGATGACACACCCATACGACCCCCCAATCCAATCCCTAACAACCTACCTCTACAACCACACCATCACCAGCCCAACAGCCTACACCTCAGCCCGCACAGCCCTTCTCGACGCACTAGGTTGCGCAATCGAGACAGCCTCGAAAAGCACCGAAGCGCAGAAACTCCTCGGTCCGCGCGTGCCAGGCACAATCGTTCCCGATGGGTTCAGGGTGCCGGGTACGAGGTACCAATTGGATCCGGTGAAGGGGGCGTTCGATTTGGGTGTTCTGATAAGGTATTTGGATCATAATGATGCGCTTGGGGGGAGGGAGTGGGCACATCCTTCTGGTATGTTTTCTACCATTTACTTTTCTTTTGTTGGAGGGGTTGTGGATGAGTTCCTGTTTGGTGGTGATGATGATGACGATGACGGATTCCGTCAGATAATTTAGCCTCCATCCTGTCTGTAGCAGACTGGCTCTGTCGAGCCAATAAGACAACCCACAAAGGCCCTCCATTGACAATACACACCCTCCTCACGGCCCTCATTAAAGCCTACGAAATCCAAGGCATCTACGCGCAGAGCAATGCCTTCAACGCCCACGGCACAGACCACGTCATCCTCGTCAAGCTCGCATCTGCGGCCGTCGTCTCCTGGCTCCTTGGCCTAACCGAGTCCCAAACCATGGCTACTATCTCGCACGTCTGGATGGACGGCCATCCGAGCCGGCTCTACCGCGGCGCGGAGAACACAGTCCCCCGGAAAGGATGGGCGGCGGGGGATGCGTGCATGCGGGCGGTGCATTTCGCGTTGCTGGTTCGGGCTGGGCAAGTTGGTGTTCCTTCTGTGTTGACTGCGGTGCCGTGGGGTTTTTATCAGCGCGAGTTTGGGGGCCGGGAGTTCGAGTTCATCAGGGAGTTTGGGGATTGGACGGTTAGGAATGTTTTGTATAAGGTTATGCCGGTTGAGGGGCATGGGATTACCGCTGTTGAGGCGGTTTTGGTTCAGCGGGGACGGCTTTTGGGGATGGGGTATGGTGTGGGTGATGTGGAAAGGATTGAGATAAGGACGACTAGGGCGGCGGATCTTATTATTAATAAACGAGGGCCGTTGGGGAACGCGGCCGAGAGGGACCATTGTATGCAGTTTGTTGTTGCTTTGGCGCTGCTGAAGGGGGGCGTGCCTGAGGTGGGAGATTATCTGGATGAGAGTTGCTGGGTGAGGAGTGAGAAGTTGGAGAGCTTGCGGGAGAGGGTGGTTGTTGTGCCGGATGATCGATTGACAGCTGATTATCTAGATCTGGAGAAGAAGAGTGTTGGGTCGGGTTTGAAGGTGTGTTTATTTGATGGCACCCTGCTGCCAGAGGTGCTGGTGGAGTATTCAATTGGCCATGTCAGGAATCCCGAAACTTCTGCTGCCGTGCGGGACAAATTCGTGAGAAACATGCGTTTGATGTTCTCGGATGCACATATCGCTAGAATTCTGGCTGCTGTTGAAGGCGATGGGACGGATATCTCGGAGTTTGTCGATCTGTTTTGGCTCCAAGGGTCGTCAGGCCCAAGGCTTTAAACATGATATACTAGTAGGTACCGACAGTGGCAGGGTGTAAATGTTATTTTATAACTATATAGAAGGTTCAATCTCAAGTAGGTAGTATCTGCAACGTGATCTACTGTGTATGCCAGTTACGGGTGCTTTATCTAGTCTTGTCAGCGGGCATTGGGAAGCCCAAAGACGCTACAGTATCCTATTGTCCATCAACCGACCTTACCAACTCCTTGCAGAGTCAGATACACGTCCGTCCCCCACCCCCAGAGGCTCTGTACGGCGATACTGCCACCAAAGTATTCAGCATATGCCCTACTCAGCGGCAATCCGTATCCGAGTCCTGCGATGCTACTCAAATGGCCACTGCTTGAGGACATGGCATTCAGGGCATCCATATTCCCATTCTCCGAGCTCTGCAAGTCAAGGTCAGAGAAAGTGGTGAAACTGTAAGACCAAATATTTGGCAGAATCTCGGGAGGGATTCCACCACCGCGATCGCGGATTCTGATTGTAATGCTTTGCGTGGAAGGAGACGACAATTTGATTGATTCGTTCGCATCTGCGGTTCCCACAACGGAGTCCATCTCGAACCCGACATCCGAGTTGGGATGAACGGGATAAGTTCCCACCGACACGGAGTACGGCCCACGCACATGGTTTCTTGGAACGTCAGGCGCAGCAGCGATGGTCACCTCAACAGGTTCGCGTTCGTTCCCAGCTTCAACCACGGCTCTGAATGCGTTCTTCAGCAGCTCTGTGAGAATGTATTCCACATGTACAGGAACATGCGCAAAGGTGGCATCAGGTTGCCCGCCGACCGTGAGTCGTGGGCGGACCCCATATTTCAGTTCGCAAATCTCTCCAACAAAGTCCTCACAGAACTTGACAATGCGCGCTGGTTGCAGGGCAGTGTCGATGACACCGATATAGTTCGATGGAGATGTGTCCTTCGGTGGGTTGCCATCATCACTAATCGGTTGTGAAGCAAAATGGAGCGCCAAGTGTTGCTCAGCTATCAGCCGAGTGCCGATACGTGCCCGCAGGTGGGTATCTAGGAATCGAGTCACCTCCGTCGGGTCGATATATCGGCGACACTCCAGAAATCCACGCGCAAGAATGGGAATTGTATCTGTATGAGTGTGGACTAGATCCGCCAAGACCTCTGCAAAGTGTTTTTCTTCCTCGAGTGTTGTGATTTGCCGTTGCTGGTAAGGGAGAAGTGTGGACAAGGAGTGAAGGTAGTTATTATATATCTTCGAGACATGCGGATTCGAAACAATGATAAAAGGGAGGTTCCGTAGAGCTTCGATTCGAGATGCAAGTCGAGCAGGAAGAAGTGAAAGAGTAAAATTGGCCGATGCGAGGAGAGCATCTTTCGCTAACGGCGGACGGCCGTGTCTAGAGAGACCGCGGTCAGTAAACCCTGCGAATATAAGTTAAGACATACTATATCCCCCACACCAAACGTACTTCAGTAGATCCGCGAGAGTCAATGGCCGACGACGGCTCGCCGCAAGACGTGTGACTTCATCATTTGCCCCGTAGGCGAACGGTTGCTGAGTTGATGTTGCAACCTGGGGAGGCGGTGACACAGAGAATTGACGTGCCTTCTGAACATTATGGATTAGACGAAACCGAAGTCGGACGCTGCAGCTCGCTGTCCGTGCGAGAGCATTGGTTAAGGCCATCTTTAGCAATAGCCATCCTGTGACTAGCTCAGCATTAATTCATGTCATGTATCAAGTGACTTTCGTCATCATACCACTCAAAAGGGTAATCCTCACGTGGAATGACGCTAATACAAATTAGGTGAAGTGAGTGAAGTGGGGGATGCTTAGTCAATTGTGCCAGAGGAACTAGTTAACTATGTACTGTGTAGGAAGGGAAAACAAATATGTCCTATACCTATCCCTTCATTGCTCGAAGGATCTTCAGAGGTATATACGGTAGACGAAAGGGGTTACAAAGAGTGGCGATCCAAAAAGTCGCAGAGAGAACAGGGTGCGGATGCGAACTACAGACCCTTACATCGAATCAGTGAGGCTGCATCAGAACGCGTATGAGCCAGTTCCTCACGCTTATCTATATATGTACATATACTTGGCTTGCTTTGGTTGGTTGCTTTCATGTATGATGAGGTCATTGTCTCTTGGGCATATCTTTGATGCCTGGTCGGTAGTAGATAGATGACACCGTGTTGGGAAAAAAGAACAGCCGTTACAAAGGTTGAACTGAAAGTTTGATGATTTTAAGTCATAATTGAACAAGAGAGTAGTTTCGGATGAGTCTAGCTTTCCGCACAGCAGTCCCAGTACTCATGAGGAACATTCTCTTGGAACGCTAGACTAGAATATTCGTAATTCGTACAGCCACCATTGAACCGCAACCTCCCCAAGTCAGTGTCGATATTTAGCTACTAGCTAATTCCGCTGCTTGTCGCTAGCAGTGATTGCATCGTACTCTGCCCCGGAGTCGATGCGTATTTCCATTACTGGATTTTCATTTCGCCATCTTGTTCGACGTGGATATGGTCACTAGACTCAAGAGTGCTGACATGGTCCGCAGGGTACTCGACACTAGGAACTGTCAGTTAGGCTGATCGCTGATGTTGTGGGGCGGAGTTATAGTGGATGGCTGCCTTACGTGAAACCCTTGATTAGAGTGTACTCGTGTTTGATGGTTCCTCCTTGTTCTCTGACCTTCTCCTTGGCTCTTGTAGCGAAGGTGCGATGTCAGTGGCTATTCATTTTTGAAACTCAACTATAGGGCAACTCACTTCTCCAATTCAGCAGGGGGAGAGTCCTTCTTGAGTGTGACCTAAAGAGATATACCAATGAGCATCGAGAAACGCAAGACGATAAGGTAGGTATAACGAACGTTGTAGAGAGGCATTTTTACGTGTGTATATTGGAAGGTAGTGTGACGATCTCAATGAACGAGAGTCTGAAGTGGACAGGTAAGGTAGTTTGTTTAGGGGTTTATCAGTTAGAAGGTAGTAGGAGAAACAAACCGTTGACAGGGTGGGACACCGGGAGACTTTATACCACCTTGCGGGGGTTTGAGTCAATATCACCACTGATAAGGGGAGAAATGTGACTTCCACCCGATAGCGCGGAAGGACAACCTGTTGCCTTAGTCCGCAGGCTTCCCAGTTCCTTGGAATCGCGCCATTTGGACCATTCCCCTCGTGACAAAGTTTCCTACTCCGTCATCTCCGTAGTATTTATTGTTTCAAGTCTCTATTTAACTTCACAGTGTCGTCAGAGCTCTACATCAATAGATTTATCTATAGTATTCCATATCTCTTGTGGCTTTGGATCGCCTGTGGCAGTGTCTTTGTACAACTCCTCAGTGACATGCATGACGGAGGGGTGGGGTATCATGGCGGACTATGACGGTGACGATGAGTGGCCTTAGGCGGGGCAGGTCACGTGGTGGATCTTCCGTCCACTTCCTAGGCACGCTTCACCGCCTCAGGTACCGCCCTGTTCAACCCTGAGTATTCTGGCCTCAACAAATAGGATTCCTTGACCCTACGTCATCAGCGCTCACTGTAAGGCAACAAGGCTGTGCACTGCTGCAAGCCTTATGCGACTATTTGAGATTGTTGCAGAGTTTACTATACCATTTTGAATTGAAGATGCATATGTTGCATTCCTGGTATCACCCTCTGTTGCCAACAAATCGCCTACTAGTAGCTCCACTAATCTCGACACCAACTATATATCTTTGAGAAAGCCAACTTCAATAACCTTTTCCGTTTCTAATCCAAGAGATGCAATTTTCGCCCTTGTATTTTCACGGATCCACAAAAAGATCCACAAGACTATTTTCCGAAAGTAATTCTTACTCTTCTTGATCTTCATTTGCTCCTTACCGGTGATATAAATGACCCCATGGCTGTACGCGTCTTCTAGTCTTGCCAATGAAGCATCATATCGCCCTCCGTCTGCCGTGGAAGACTCCCCCGTTGCAGATGTTGTAGACCGTTGTACAGAGCTAGCATGACTCTTGTTGGTGATTGTGTCAGGTGTGCATGTGGGTAGATCGGCTTGATCACAAGTTCTCGCAATCAAGTACCTGCGAACCTGCTGAGTAATGGTGTTTGCCAAATTAGGCGTGATGATCTCGTCGTTGTAGCCATAGCGAACAACAAGACGGTAGCAATTAGGGATCGCAAGGCTGGAAACAGTATAGCGATCTTCCGCTGGCACCGACGGTGTTTCGATTGGGCGTAGATGAAAGAAGATTATCACAGCAGGCATGGTAGTAAGCTTGAGAATAAACTGACTGAACACGATTGGGGTGGTCTCCCCTGCTTTGTCAAAAAAGATCCCGAGGCCTTTTGTTATACTCAAGGCGTTACCTCCATATCTATCCGTAAGGCGTATTTGTCCATCTGGATCTTTGGAGACGAAGTGTGAGGTGGGAAACCGATCTTCAGCCTCGGCCAGCCATTGCTGCTCTTTCCCAAATCTCCATATGAGAAATAGGATGGCTAACACTGTAGCAAGTGCGAGGGTGAACCAGGCGCCTGTGGGAACTTTCATGAG